CATAATACCACCAGTGGTTCTCGTATTCCATAATAATTGCCATTAATTTTTTTACTCATTTATCGGAAAGACAGACCTCCTAAGTTTCTGACCTCACTTTATTCTCGCTGGCATTGATATTGATATTATGGCGGGTCTGTAGTGTTCAGATCAGTACGACTTCCCATGAAATTCGAACCTGGTCCTGGTGATGTTCTTGTTGAGCAATACGCACTCCCTTTCTGTCTCGGTTTAATGATGAATGTTACAGAATAATATACAAATTAAAATACAGCATTTAGCCACATGTTTGCGTGCTCGGTACATGGTGATATGCATAATTAAACATATAAACAAAATTACCATTTTTGAGTTAAAACACAATATAACACACAAAGACTACTAATGAAACTACTAATTGGTAGTAGTGACAAACGTGAAATATTTCAAGCACTGAACAGAGTGAGTGCTTTGGTCATCAGGGCATTTGAGGTTGTCATTAACTGTGGAGTTTACGACATCTATTGTTTCGTAGAATGAAATGAAGTGGCATGGTAACTTGCAAGGCAAGTAATATTTCCAATCATCAAAAAGTAAAATAAATAAATAAATAAATAAATAAATAAAATAAATAGATAAATAAAATGATAATAAGAAAACATATATTTGTTTTAATAGGATAATAATAGATAAATAATTCGGCCATGCATTATGCATATACTCCAAAGATAGCGGGAAGCTAAATGGATGACAATTCAGCAAAAGTTTCACTCCCAAAGAAAGAAAATGAACATCAAGAGAGATTATAAAATCCTGTTGACATCCATAAAATCTTTAGTCATTTAAGAGGCTAAAATCATGTGTACCTCATATTTTGAATAATTTTGTATACTGTTTCAAATAACTATTTCCGTTTACTTTATTTTATTAATTTTGTTATTCCAAAAACATTATTTTCTACGAATCATATGACAGAAAATGATATTTAGGATTTTTTTTGGGGGGACTTAAATAAGAAACTAAATCAATTCCTTTTAGTATCTCACCAAACTGCTCATTATCGGTATGAACATTTTCGTATTGTTGCATGCTTCCTATCGTTTTTCGACATACTGATCCTTATCTCGATAAATGATATCAGAGTGATTGATTATCGACAGTGAGATACGAAACAACCCTCATATATGTCTGATGTTTTACCACAATAAACTATGGGTTCCTTGTTATCAGGAGGAGGGAATCTCCCCTGACTCATATAAATCTCATGTGTTGATGTGAATAACTTATTCTTGATATCAACAATTTCTGTGAAATGACATAACATTTGACAGATAGAGAAAAGGGTACTCAAAATGTCATGGGGTGACTACTACAACAACAACAACAACAACTACTACTGCTATTACAACTATTAGTACTACTACTACTACTACTACTACTTTTAATGCTACTATTATTCCTACTCCTCTTACTACTACTACTACTGCTACTACTACTATTACTATCACTACAACTTCAAAGAGAAAAACTCATTACTATTAAGATCTGCATGGTAAGCGCTGTTTACATCGTAAACATTTTGTAATAGACATTCTTCAGCCATCTTTTTATTGCACCATTTTTTCATCTATTTACCTACAACACTTTGATCTAATTACTACACAAAGGGAACAAAAACATCAGAATGGGTGTCCGGTTCACTTTCACTCCACACCACTGCCAGGCGTATCGCGTAGAGCCTCTGCAGATTACGTATGTTTTAGCCTCCGAGCTACTCAGAAATTGAATCTACATGAAACTTTACATCGGTAAGTGTGAACTAAAATTTCTCTGTGAAATAGATAATGAAACAGACGACGAATATCACTATGCCAAAGGAAATCAACTTATGCGAGCGGTACGATACTTTCTAAACAT